AAAAGAGAAGCAAACTTTTACTTAAGTATGGATTAGTAACAGTTAAGGGTTGATCAGAACCCTATATTGCATCCTTTTATCTTTGTTCATTAACACATTTCTTGGTTTATCCCATGTAAGTAGTAGTTAATTTATTGCACTGTTATTTCATAGAAGCTTTGTGTTTTTTAGAAAATGGTTTTTTAATATGAAACTGCTTTCTGTTTCTCTCTCAATTATCAACTACTGAGGAGAGTGGTGGGCATATACTTTATTTTCTGAGCTAGCTACTAATGTTACAGGAGGAAAAAAGAAAAGTAATCTGTTCAAAATGCACTCTGCATTGAAGAGAAAGATTTCATTTAAGAAAGACTAAAACAAATGTGAATTTTCTTCAAGACAAATTGGCAGTATTTTATGCTTGTATCCTGGGATTTAAGCCATCATTAATGATTATTTTTTGATGCTGTGGGTGATCTTAATGGTTATGATAGCAGATAGTGTAGTTGTTACATCTCGGAAGAGAATTACATGGGGAGTTGTCAAAGAACAAATATCCTACATTGTATCTGAAGTAGATTTTATCAGGTGTTTGTGGAAAGTGGAAACTAGGTCTTGTGTTTTGTAAAACGTGTTAGCCATTGCTGTTCAAATGTTGGTAACTGGTCTTGATGTTAGGTAAGACACAGAAAAGAGGATTTCAGGAGAATTGTGTCATCTTCCATTACTAATGTAGGCTAGAAGTATTTTTATGAGAAGATGAAATAGAGTTATCACATGTTGATATGTCATAAAAAAAGTTCTGTAATTTACCTTGCATGGACTAATTCTACCACTATCACAAACATGTTGGAAGTTCTGTAGTTGCTGTCTCCCCTGCGACCACCGTAGATCATTCAGTACTTACAAGGGAGTGCTGAGCATGCCTGAGTCAGTCACTCTAAAAATATTGGTCGAATGAACAAAGATGGAAGGGACTAGCTCATTATTTCTGCTTTGGTTTCATGAAACAGCTAATCAAAGCTTATTTAGAACTGATTTTCTTGCCTTGTCCATCTTCTAGCTTTGAGGAAGGCAAGTATAATGTAAAAAGTAGAAATGGAAAATTATAAAGCAAGAGAGTTTAGATCAAAACCTCTTGGCCTTGCATTTCTTTAAAGAATGGATCAAGAAAACTTAAATATCAGTATATAATTAATAAACATATGTTAAGTTTGCTTTTTTTGAATATTGAAATACCATTTAGATGATCATTGAAAGCATGTATTTTTATGCAAAGGTTTTATGTTTCTAAGGTATGCATATGTTGTCCCAGATTTGACTTTATATCTTGTGTGAAATCTGAGAGAAGGCATCATTAGTAAATTCCATGTGGAATTTGTACCACTCTGTCACCAAAGTGAGTAATCAGCTTGTTTTCTTTTGTTTCTTTTTTTAATTCTTTGTAAGTTGGAAAAAAAAGTGATCCTTTTTTGTTTCTGATATGTACTGTTTTAAAGTGATATCAACTGCCATGTAAGTGTATTTCAGAGCTGGTGGCTGGCTTTTTTTAGTCTTTCTGCTGTAGCATGTCTTCGTTGGAAGTGTTAAAATATTTACAGAGTGAGAACGAAAAGTTCATTAAGTATTAATGTTGGTTGTTTGAGTTATTTATAAGCAGTCATATTGTCCTCAATTAATTTATTATGCCAAGCTAATAATAAAGGGCGGCATAGAAGTTCACTAGATAATTCCAAATTCTGTTACAGTTTTCTGTACCACATGTAACAGTTACATCAGCATGTTTTGTTCAGTTGCAGTCAGGAAAAAATGGAGAGCTAACAGCTGAACTTTTCGTTAGGTTTAAAAAGATGTTTGACCATGGTGTTACCATATGTATTTAAACTAGAGCTCCACGTATAGCATCTGTTGTTACTACGGTCCTGAACATTAGACTGGCTTTTATGAAATTATTTTACTTAATGGCTGCGAATGCAGTATGATATTGAGCATGTCATTTAATCTTTATAGACCTTGAATTTTTTCACCTGTGTAAAGTATGCCCATTTTTAAAATTTTTTTTAAAAGATTTTATTTATTTGACAGAGAGAGAGAGAGAGCACTAGCAGGTGGTGTAGCAGGCAGAGGGAGAGGGCAGACTCCCCGCCGAGCAAGGAGCCCGATGCGGGACTTGATCCCAGGACCCTGGGATCATGACCCGAGTCGAAGGCAGTCGCTTAACCAACTGAGCCAACCAGGCACTCCAAGTATGCCTGTTTTAATATGCTGCCTATAAACCTCATGGGGTTGTTAGAAAGATCAGTGAATCAAAGCAAGCTAGTCATGGTTAAAACCATTCAGCCTCTGCTTTGTACTTTTGGGCAAGTTATTTTACATCTTTGTCTCTCATTTTCCTCACCTGCAAAATGGGAGTGACAGTAATAATACCCGCTCATAGAGTAGGTGCAAGCATTAAAAAAGTTACTGTACATGAAGCTTATGGCTAAATGACTGACATGTATTTGTCAGTGGTTTTTAGCTAACATTATCATTAAAGCATGTTATAAGGAAGGCACATAAAAGTATTATTTCATTAGTATGCAAATTGAATTGGATAAAGAAGTCCTTTTATCTTTCTTTTTCATTTTTATGAGAATTTGTTAATCTTTTTATCCTCTATGTTGTGTAATGGCTTAGGATGAATTTTGTATGATGATAGAGATATCTGCTAAGAGAGCGACCTAATTGGAGGAACTTGTAAGCCAAGAATTCGTAAGTGAAGAAAGATCCCGTGATCTTCCCTTTATTGCAGAGGAAATTATGCTAGGTCGGTGCTGCGGGATGTGGACTCGTGCCTCACTGCCTTCCACTATGTGTCATTGTTCTCTTTTGTTATAAGGGTAGGCTTGAAAGTGCCTTGTTAAGTAGGGCACTGCTTAAAATTTGGGCTGTATAGGTTATATTTAGGAATTATCTCGCTGAAGACCAGCTGACTGGCACTGGGGGACCATGGGAAGCTACAGGGTCCCCATGGGACCATGGGGAATAACCCCTGGTCCCATAGGAGGGTGAGTTCTGGTGCAGTTCCTCTTGCTGGAGAAAGAGGGAGCCCTGGCCCAGTTGGCTCATTTTCCAGGCAGTCCAGGGTGAATGCTCAGGGTCATTTCAGGAAACTTCTACCTGCTACACCATACTGTTACCAGAGTATTAAAACTTTCTGTTTTCAGTAAGATTCACTTCTTATATAGATATATGTGTGGGAAACCAAAAATTATTTCTGCAATTTGAGTCAGACACTGTTAAGAGTGATTCAGCATTTCTAAAATTCTTTTCCTGTCTTATTTTCATTGAGAAGTCTGTTTTCCAATAACTGCAAATATTTACTTTTCACTTACTTACATTGCTACTTCTTGATAAATCCTGGTATTGAATTTGATGATACTGTTCTAATTTACATGTTTGTTCACATCTCAGCTGCCCTCTTGGGAGGCATCATAGAGCCAAGTTGGTGTTTGGAGTCAGATGGGGTGGGTTTGAATACTGGCTCCATCACCTAATAGTTACTTTGAGAAAATTACTTACCCATGTCCATTCCCAGTTCTCTTGTCTGTAGGTGCTGATACGCATAGCTACCTTATCAACATTGTTGTAAGAATTAGAGCTAATGTATATAGTTAGCATAGGGCCTAGAATACAGGAGACATAGTATTATTTAATTGGTAGTGGTGAAATGAAGGAAGTATTTTGGAACTCACGTACTTAAAGTCAGAATTTTGGAGTTGGAAGTAACTTAAAATTTATTTTTCTCCCTTTTTAAAAAAGATTTTATTTATTTATTTTTAGAGAGAGAGTGTGCAGTGCATGTGCTTGTGGGAGGAGGGGGGAGATGGGCAGAGGGAGAGAGAGAATCTTTTTTTTCTTTTTTAAAGATTTTATTCATTTATTTGACAGAGAGAAACACAGCGAGAGAGGGAACACAAGCAGGGGGAGTGGGAGA